CCTAGTGGCATCATTTTAAAAATCTTAATGCATTTAGGAAGAGAGACTATTCTGACCATCCAGAGAATGTATAGGACATATATAAACATTGCACAAATCTAAACACACACACACACACACACACACATATGTATATGGGAAAGGCCTGTATTACAAACTATTAATTTCAGCCCAGGTACTTAATTTTCAATTGATGCTCCTTCATAATGAGTGCCTCAAAACTGAAGAAATAGAAATGAACACATCTGTTAACCCTTAAAGAAACCAATTCCCTCAAACGCCCTTTGTCCTTTTCTGGGCATTGGTGATGGGACCACCAATTCATAAAAGCTCTCCTTTAACCTCGGTAGGTCTTACTGCATCCCAGCTTCTCAAGCAGGCCCACCACATCCCAGCTTTCACATCCAGCGTCTGTGTCCCTGCAGAATCCTTGCCTACCATAGAGCAGGGTGTGTGTCCTCTCAGCCTGCACTTCTTCAAAATGACCGTGTAACTCCCACATATGTGATTCCACAAGTATCAGTGATCTAAAGCCAGTGTTGGGGACTTCTTTAGAAGTCTCTAGCCGTTCACATGAATGATGATATAGAACACACAGAAGAAATTGAAAATCTTATGAAAAATATACAGTCAAACAGATAACTGTATGTGTCTGTGTGTGTGAGAGAGAGAGAGACAGAGACAGAGAGAGAGAGAGAGAGAGAGAGAGAGAGAGAGAGAGAGAGAGAGAGAATTTTCTTCATTCAGGTGTGTGCAAGCATGTGAAATTGGAAAGATACTCTATTTCTAAATGCACATCCCTACTTCAGCTAAGGCATTTGTGGACACAGCAGTTAGAAATTAAATTGATAAATTAATAGATAAATATAATTTACTTTTTATTGATTTTTGTGTAAGATATGAAACAGGAACAGGTTTCAAAAGCCCTGGTTTTCCTCTTGGAAGGCCAAAGTGACTTTGCTGAGTAACTCAGGTTAAATTTTTCATCAATGACATGTGCAATGTGGCCCACAGCCAATGGATAGATAGGATTAAGCCATCTCCCTATGGCCCAAAGTGTGTTCCATCCATGGCTTTATAAATCACTGGATTTGCACTGTCATTTTATTATCATGGAAAATAAGTGATAAAAATAGAGTGGCCTCTCAAGGTAAGCCTGATTAATACAAAGCATAGCTAAATTTTAGATCGTGTAGCACAAAGGAACCTTTCAGCCTTTTTAAATATTCCTTCAGTGGAAATCATGGAGAGTCAAAGAGCATGCATATTCATCCAAAGAGTGTCTATACTTACAGATTGGAGTGAAAGTAAATGACAGATAGACATATTTTCAAAATTATATTGAGAGAAGAAAAACACCATTAACATACCTTTATATAAAATGAGAAATACGTACAAACGGAAGCAGAAGGACATTTGTAAGCCAACATAGATCAAAGATACTGTGATAGATTCTCTGTCTAAGCAATGACACACGAGTGTAGTCTGAGAAAGACAAAGGACATGGGGGGGCTATACGATGGCAAAGATTTCAGAAGGATAAGTGTGAGTGTGAGTGTGTGTGTGTGTGTGTGTGTGTGTGTCACCATGCAAGCAAGTATGTGTGCCAGTGTGTGAAGGCTAGAGCTCAATGGCTATCTCTCCCCGTATCATTCTCCACTTTGTTGGGTTTTCTAACACTGGGATTGAAGGAAGAGGCAAGCCCCCTGATATGTAGCTCATGCCCAAGTAAACAGCATGTTACCTCACATACATGTGAGCAACACTCAAACGACTCAGTAGGTTATATATTAGCCAGTCCCTCTCTATGTATGTAATATATACCTATAGAGGAGGACATGATTTTAAGATGAGATATGGAGGGACCTGGGAGGAGTTGGAGGAGATAGGACAGAGCTTGTGGAAATGCATTGTACTCATTATATGAAGTTCTTTAAAATACATATATAAATAGTAAAAATGAGGGTGGAGAGAATCACTTTTAACCTGTTCTTGGTGCAGCTGTCCAGTGACTTTTTGTCTAACTTCTGGTGGAAACTGAAAGCACTTCTCACCCTGACACTGTATGTGTTATGGCATATATTACACATCAATGTACTCTGTTTTAACTATATATTATGTAATATGTATAATCACACTACGCATGGAGAGGAACATTTTGACTTGAATAATGGAAAATGCCTTTACTTTTGGATTACAAAATTAGGAATAGTTTAACTAATGTATGTCAAAAATGTAACTGTGCAATAATACATGTAAAATTATTTAAACATCCTTTTTAAAACACTCAAGTATGGTGTTTCCTGTAAATCCAACAGGTTTCACTCTTGGCCCAATTGGCAATTAATCCTTGACAAAACATGAACATATCAGTCATCATGTAAGACTAATTCCATTACACAAAACATGAACATATCAGTCATCATGTAAGACTAATTACATTACGCATAAACTCATATTTGCAGGCACATTTCTCACGAGCAAACAGGAACAAGGCATCTACACACAATAGCCCATCATATTAAGAGGAATACTGTCAGCTAGGTGGTGGTGGTGGCCCATGATTTAATCCCAGCACTCGGGAGGCAGAGGCAGGCGGATCTCTGTGAGTTCGGGTCCAGCCTGGTTTACAAAATGAGCTCTGAGATAGCCAGGGCTACACAGAGAAACCCTGTCTCAAAAACAAACAAAAAGAAACAAAGAGGGATGGTGTACAAGGCAAGCATACCTGATTAACAGACCAAGCAAGAGATCACGACACTAGCTCATTTCTCCATGCTGGCTCTCCCATCATAACCCACTCCGCACCCTGCTCTCACCCTGACACCAATGCAAATTACATCTTAGGCTATTAGTTCTTTGAGGATTTTATCCCACCAGAAACTTAGATTTTGTTAGTCTGCGGAGCCCCCTTGGTGTGACAAAAGGAAAGAAGCAAGGTTCATTGCTCTAATTTGACCACGATGATAGGACTTCCCTCCCTAGCCCTAACTCTTCCTCTACTGCATGCTCTTCAAACCATGTTTCTCCACATAACCACCCAATCAGATAGACATCTAACAGATGGAGTATATTAGTATGTACGGACCTCTGAGAAACAGCAGAGGAAAAAACATCACATAAACATACCTTCAAATTTTCTCTTTCCCTCATTCTGTGTTTTTGATACCTGTAGCACTTGGATCCAGCTCCCTCTCTCCTGGCTCTTCCCCCAGTCACCATGATCCTCCTTCCACGCTGTACTGCCTTCTACTGACTCCCCTGCAACAGGCTCTTGTCTGTCATCTCCCCAAGACTTCCTCACTCATCACCATCACTCAGCTCAACTCCAGCATCTTCTGCATATTACCTAGACATACGTTATTATTATATTCCTCTCTAGGGACTCACAGGCAACGACTGTAAGCAAAAGGCAACCATCAAGTGCTTTAATTAAGTATTTGAAACTTTTAAATTACATTTTCTTGCCCCCACTCCTTCTGATCTTCCCCTCCCCTCCTTCCCCCTCCCTATTTCATAAACTCTTTTACAAACCTACTGTGTACATGCATGTAGGAGCACCCACTGAAGCACAGGCAGCCTATCAAGGGTCATAGTCCTGAAGAAAACGGGCACACATCCTGTCTACTAGCTCCTCAGCTCATGGTGTGATCTCATGAGCCCGTCCTTCTCCATGCTGGAAATTTCTAATTGGTTTGATCCTGTACAGGGGTTGTGGTGGGTGATTATTGTGAGGCCATGTGTGAAATATCCACGTCATGTTCGGAGGGCAGTATTTCACCGCATCCTCTGCCATTAGACATTTTCTGCCCACTTTCTTCTGAGGAGTCCTGAGCCTTGGGATCATCCCAAGGCATAACTTTTAAGTTTTAAAGATATATTAATGTCAGTAGAAGACTATGACTCAACATCTCCTCTATGGAAAGAAATTTTCGTGAGGGGAAGGGGCTTTCCTCTCCTTTTAAGAATCAAGGAAGACCCAAAATGAGCAGGAACACCCTCATCTATAATACAATTCAATGATTTTGTTAGGGCCAAGTGAAAATCAAAGTTCAGAAACAGTTTCTCTATTGATGTCCATTAAATTTATAATTCTATGTTAATTTCAGTTCTCATTTGGGTTTGGTATATTCAACAATTAATCAAACATAAAAATTGTTAGCTCCAATTTGTATGCTACCATATAATACACCTCAATATGGCTCTGTGAGTGTATATCATTTAACAGCTACAGCTAGATTCACTCACAATTCAAACCCATCTGAATTCTTTCTGCAAAAGCTTTAATTGTAACGCACACACACACACATACATTATATATCTTCATCTATATTCACTTTGTTTTCATGTATATGCCATTAGAATATTTGCATGAGTTTTCATACTCTTAGGACAACATATGTAAATAAATCACACAGCGATTTGAAATTTTAGCAGCTAAATATGCAATCTGTTAAGCATAATCAGGCATGCTATTCAGCAACTGCGTGATGTAATTCAGTCTTTCCAGAGAAAATACATGTTTTGTATAAAAGTATCTTTGCAAAACTTGATGAAGTTTTCAAGAAATCTGTACTGACATGTTTTTTTCATATTCAAAAATTAATATGCAAAGCCTTCTGACTAATGCTTCAATAAAAGATGAGCTCCCCTCACTATATCCTAACAGCAACTTCACTTCTCTCTCTGCCTGCCTTTTGTAAACATGGTTCACCAACCTGAGTTATTTTCAAAAAGGAAAATGCAAACTTCTGGATATATTGTACATGTAATTGAAAAAATATATAAAAAATTAATGGTTATCCACAATTTTTCATAAGCTGTTTTGTATTTAAATTCTTACTGTCTACTTTATAAATATGGTGATCATCACAAATCTTTCCTTCTACTTTTCAAATATATAAATTACCGTCTTGATGACTCAAAGTCATCAAAGGAAGTCAACAGTTCCATGTACTTAACAGACTGTGAAAGCATTAATCCTAAATAAGCATTACTACCTTGGTCTGAGTTTTCATAAAACACAGCGGTTCTCTTGACAGGTGACACCATTTCTTTGGGTTCTGTGGGCAAAGAGAGAAGATTAATAAAAACAACCTTTCCTTTTACTCTCTAAATGCTTTTTAAAGAAGATTCATTAGTAATAAAGGTCAGAGAAGAAATCATTTAATATGATACTCTGTTTCATTCAGCAGCTACCTCAGGGACCACTTGCCTTAAATGCCAAATACTTCCCCAAAGGTCCTCTCTCCCCTGCAGCTGAGCTCATGGGTGACTGTGGCAGATCCCCAGCCTGCTTTCTTTGATTCTCTCCTTTTCTCACACAGAAATAAGATTTGCACTTGGCAAGGGAAAGCATTAGCTTCCGTCATTTCAAAAGGCACACTCTAAGCCATGTTGGGACCCAACATTTATGGGAACACAAAAGACTGAATGAAATTTGCAATTATCCAAACTTACTTCCCTCCCTCTCCCCATGAGGATGGGCTGTAAAATATTCATGAGAGTCTGTGTCTTCCTACAGAAATCAAACGATGAGAAATTGTAGGATGACTGTAAATAATTTGCAGATTACCCTCCTTAGGAGATGCGATTACCAGGCTTTTCTGTACTGTGAACAGAAAGGAAAGCACTCTATGGGAGTCAGAAGTTATGGAAATATATCTTGTTCCCTCCCTGAGCATATAACAATCTCAAGGAGTGTCCCATAAAAGAGTTTACTGCATCGTTATCTGAATGTGCAGATTGGAGGATGAGAAATGCAGGTCTAAGCAATAGCTTTGCAGAAAGAGCTGTCACGTAAGTAGGTGAGAATTTTAAATTCATTCCTTAAGAAAATTATCTGACTGGAGGAATTTTGACAGTTAAAAACAGCATTAAATAATCGGCTATGTCAGCCATTATTAGGGTAATCATTCAGCTGCAATCACCACACTTCCCAGCTGTGAGAACTTGGGCAAGTAAATTAAACTCCGCATGCATTCACTTTTCCTCTGCAATACAGGACTGATTATGCCCTCTACTTCCTAGAGTTACTATGATGATTAAGTGAGATAAATAAATCTAAAGGACAGAAGAAGGCAGTGCCAGCCGAGCATAACAAGTGCTAGTGAATACAATTATTGGTGAAGCTATTAGAATTATTAGCAACTTTCTGCTTTGGGAAAGTCTTCTGGCCCCATTGAGAATCAGCATCCTAGAGATAGGCATGGTGGAATGACTACACCATAGCACCCTGGAAATTATCTCATTTCCTTCCTGATCAAACTCCATGACAGGAAAAGATGCACTTAGTTTAGGTCTTTGGGAGATAGGTGATAAAGATGGAACCATATTTCAGGAAGGTCACCTATAAGCTATCAAGTGCTATCCTGAAGACTTTCTTCATGAGTTTGTTCAGGACTATGGACAAAAAAAGCCTTCCAACACACTATGATAGGTTTCAAGGTTCTCTTCACATATCTAACCTTGTCCTCTCTGGAGAAGTATTGATTTCATTCCAGAAACACCTACAGAAAGTTAGGTTCACATACACATAATAGAAATTGCAATAAAAAATAAACTGAACAAAGGTGTGCTCTGATTAGAGAAACATAGATTCAATTATGCCAAGAAATAGCTAAGCTTGTCATCATTAAACAACATATAATATGTTAAAGTTGCAGAATATATTGAAAAGAAAACTGTAGGAAGTTGAAGATGACACTATGGAAAAATATTTCAAAAGTAATCTAAAACACAATCCATAACACAGACACAACAGGCAAATGGTTTCCTCTACGAAAGTTTCACAGGACAGGAAGTCCTTGAAAGAATGAGTCATCGTTTGGATATTGAAAGACCTTCTCTGGGAAGCCTTTGGTTCCCAGGAAGGTGCTAGGGGTACATGATGGAACCTTTAGAACCTTAGATGGCGTCTAGTGGAAAGTCCTTACGTTGTGGGTAGCATCACTCCAAAGACTGGGGACTCTGCCCCCTTCCTCTTCCTCCTTGTTTCCTGACTCTCAGAGCAAGGGATAGGCTTAACCACTTACTCCTGCCGTGATATGCTGAATTTTTCTGTGGAAAGTTGTGGAGCCTCTTTACCTGGGAATGGCACCTCCAGAATGGTGAAGTAAAATAAACCTTCACTCTTTGTAAAATAACTGTCCCGGTGCATTGTGATATAGTATTCAAACTTTCAGGGGAGACTGAAAAGTATATATATAAAGAACTAGAAGTATAAAATCCATGAAGACTCCTTTGCTGTGACAAGACCTACTGTACTGTATGTGTTCCCAACCTCCCTTAACATTGTCCTGAGAATCTCTAGGGGAGAATTAACAACACTGGGATGAAAATGGACAAAATATAAGCATTTGCAGTAACTGAAGCACTCCTAAGGATGGATTTTAGGGCAAGGGAGATGGCTCACTGCATACAAACAGCATCAAACATATTTGCTATGCATGCTGGATGGCCTATATTCAGATCCCAGAGCCCATGTGAGATGTCAGGTGTTCTAATCCCTGATTTTCAATGCCAGAATGCCTGTGAGAGTTGGAAGTTCCAGAAGGCTGCTGGTCAGATATGCGGCTTGTGCTGCAAGGAAGAAACCCAATTCCAGAGTGTTAAACATGGTAAAAGACTGAGGTCAACAACAGAAGGTTGTTCTCTATCTCTGCTAGCATGACCCCTGCCCACAGACACACCCATATGCGCTCACACACGTGCACACACGCATGTACACATGTGCACACGCACACACGCAGAGAGGAAGCATTTTTAGAATCACAAGTATATTCTGTGCATTTTGAAAATAGAAAATGTATGACCAGAGATGAATCTAGGAAGCTTTGGATTTCCACCCTGGAACTGGCAGCCCATAAATCTCTTCCTTGAAACAGCACAGCCTGTGAGAAATTGCCGTTGCTTTAAGAAACTAATAAAATATCTCAGTGATGAAATCAGGCCCTGACTAGACTCTTACCACCCAGAGACTTCTATCAAGGTCCTTTAGCTCACAGTACACGTTCTTCACTGAGAAAGCAAAACCCAGCTACATATGAAAAGGTGATTTGAAGTTTATTCTTTCTTCAGAATTGGAATCCGCAGCTAACCTGCCAGTCTACTGAAACCAACACCCAGTAAAGAGGGATCCGCCACTCCCTTTTTTCCTTTCTTACCAAATGGCCAACTTTGTATCTTTATGTCCCTGGAGCAAGGGATGGAATCAAAAGAGGAAACTGAAAATGAGGAGAGAAATGGAGAGTTTACTTTCGGGCCACTAAGACAAGGGAAACACCCCCTCAGCCCCCTTCCCCCCCACAGATATTTCTAGCACGTTCTCAACTCTTTCCAAATAAATCTTCCCATGCTTTCCAGAACTCAGAACCCTTTTATTTTAGAGATGTAGGACTTATCTGATTCCCTCCTTGGTAATAGGGAATCTCTCATTGATCACGCTCATAAATCATGTGACTATCTGATAGCCACTGCTGTAAGGGGTCGAATTTTAACTATTTTACACCTTTTATTATTAGTTTTTCACAATCCCTGCTCACTTACAGGGAAATACCTGAAAGTTTCCTGTCTATCATTTACTGTATTTTATTTCATTATATTGCTCTTCCGTGAATGCTTTATCATTCTTCGGTTGTAGCACTCCTGGTCTGCCAGGTAGAGTCCCAAGTGACTGCCATGATGCTTCTCTCTCTCTCTCTCTCTCTCTCTCTCTCTCTCTCTCTCTCTCTGTCTGTCTGTCTGTCTATCTCTCTCTGCATCCATCTCTCCGTCTGTCTCCATCTCTGTCTCTCTCTGTCTCTCTCTGTCTCTCTCTCTCTCTCTCTCTCTCTCTCTCTCTCACACACACACACACACACACACACACACACACCCATTCCTAACAACGGCTCCTTCTGCTTGTGGCTCAGGTCTTTCTGCTCGGCGCTATCCGAATTCACCCCTGTCAAAACTTTAATGCCCACTTTCCCACAAAGTGATCCCCAGGTAGTTTGGGCTCTGTGGGTCGTGTCATTTGCCACCACTTACAACCACTGTGCAGCAATTACAGTCCACGCCTGCAATTTATATTGCCTCCTTGCATTGATTGCCTTGGGTTGCTGTGTCTCTCCAACTATTGCAATTTCCTCAAGGACATTTGTGTGCTATGCCTACCGAAGGTATATTCCACTTTCCACAGATTAAACATTAACACCAATGAAACGATTGACTTATATAGCATGAATACCTCCCTATGTCTTCTGAGAACAATCGCATGGCAAGTCCTTATTTTTGTCACATCAATTATAATTAGGATAAAAAGACACAGAAAACAAAAGAGCAGGGAAAAGTCCCAGCGCCACACAAACAGATGCTACTAGGCAGGAGTATGTCTAAAGGCAGCCTGTGTTTGTCCTGATTCTCTGCCAGGGATACCACCTGCCTCAGGGAGAATTAAGATTGTTACGAGATAAGCTGAAAAAGAGACAGTGTGGATTTTGACATCCGGCAAGACTTTTGGGCCCAAAGCAACATCAGGCTTTGCTTAGAGATAAAACAAGTTTTACATAGAAATATTAGAAGTTGTAGAACTCAATCATTGGTTCTATCCCCAAAACACAAGAAACAAAAGATTGACACACAAGTTAATTCAGTCCCTTGGCCTTAAGGGTTAATGGCTTGGATGTGGAATGCTTCCCAAAAGCCACATATGCAGCATTACTGGGCAGTTGTGTTACCTTTAAGACATGAGAGAATGAAAGAGCTTAAGTTATCGGGATCCTATCCTGGAAGGAATATCAGAACCCTAAATGACATTTAACTTCCCCCTCCTTCCTGGCCACCAGGAGGTTCATCCCCTAACATGCACCCTCTATTATGATGTGCTACCCAGACACAGGCCTAAAGAAAGGGCAGAGTAAGCACAGATTCAAACCTATAAAAACAGGAGGCCAAAATAAACCTTTCCTTCTTCTGAGTTGATTGGTTTGGGTGCATTGTCGAGCTGGTGAAAAGCTAACTACTTGGATGTGAAACGAGAATGACACCTGAAGGGGAATCGACCAACACAGAATTCTCATTT